CTCTCGTCTCGCTCCCCGATGTGAGCGTCGCTCGAGAGAAGCTCGAGAAAGCGTGCGTCCTCACACGCCTTGCGCCGTCGTTCGTGCGGATCGGTTGTTTCGAGGCCTTCTCGCCGCCCCAAAACACGTTCCTCTTCGGCGGTGGTCAGCAGGTCGCTCACTGGGACGGTCTGCGCATCCTCGGCGAGTGGGTAGCCAAGAATGTGCTCGGTCTGGACGTTGGGAAGCCGTGGGGACAAGCGCTGGTCCTTGAGGCTGCGAGACGAAACGCACGGATGGTGGCTGGGTGGCAAGCCTACGGATTCATGCATGGGGTGATCAACACTGACAAGTGCGTTTTTCTCCCTTTTCGCGCTACTTACTTGTACAGATCCTTTACAGTGTATCGATCATGGGCCTGACGATCGACTACGGACCTTTTGCGTTCATGGACGTATTTGATCCCTACCACATCTGCAACCACACCGATGAGGAGGGTCGCTATGCGTATCGGGTATGTCGTTCGTCCGCGTGAAGCGGCGCAGAACTGAACGCGGTGTGCCACAGTCCCAACCCACGAACATCCTGTTTGCTCTGCGAGCATTGCACACGGCGCTTGCCCCGCTCATTGGAGCCGAGCTGTCTCTGGGACATGCGGTCGAGGCTGGCTGGGCTGAGGGCGGAGACATCGCAGCCTGGAAGACTAGCGGATTGGATGCTTTGAAAGACGAACTCGAGCGGGTCACGCAAAGCGAGATGGCGGCTTCCTACGCCGAACTCATGAGGAAGGTGCGCGCGGCTTCACCCACTCACTGCGGGACCGGCTAATGACATCAAACGCAGCGACTCGCTCTCCGCACTGCAGAATCCACAGATGAAGCGAAGATCGTCCGGCCTCTGCTCGACCTGATGGCCGACCAGAAGCTCGACTTCCATGGAACGTTCCGGACGCTGTGCGGATTCTCGCCCGGGATGTCAAGTGACGAGAAAGACCGACTGGTGCAAAGGCTGCAGGCACAAGCACCCGACATGCAACTGTTGGATCAAGCTGCCGGATCGAAAGCCTTGCGTGACTGGCTTGACGTCTATTCCGAGCGTGTCGAGCGCGAGGCTGATGCCTGGGGGGCAGCAGATCGTGAAGCCGCAGCCCGCAACGCCAACCCACGCTTTGTCCTGCGGCAGTGGGTCTTAGAGGAGGTGATCGCCGTCGTCGAGAAAGACCCTGTGCGCGGAAAGCAGGTGCTCGCCAAGGTCATGCACGTGAGTCTATCTTCTCTCTGTGCCCCTGTTTGTGTTCGCGGCTGATGCGGGGGCTGCTCAGATGGCATCGAACCCCTTCCAGACGTGGGGAGCGGAAGACTCGGTTGAGGAATTGAGCGCAGAGGAAACGGAGGAACGTCGATTCTGCGGTTTTGGAGAGAAGAAGATGCTGGGATTCCAGTGTAGCTGCTCGAGCTGAGGAACTGGAATGTACCGTTTACTTGCAATACCGAATGTATCTGTGCAGAAGAATAAGAATCGAATCGTACGGCCATCTGTGGCTATATGAACAGGGAACGACTAGCGAGTGCGTAGCGTTAAGCAACAAGAATCGCTGAGTAGTCTGTAACCTTCTGCTAGACCCCTCCCCAGCCGAATCGACACTATTTGATGAACGTTCGATGGGATATTTCACTTGTGATTTCCGTGTTCAGCGCTACACATAGGACATACCGTTCGGGTAATGCGTAATGGGGCCGCAAGACTAGAGAGATGTGGAAACTCGCACAACTATGCGGGCGGAAGAAAAGACAAGTAGTTATTGCATGATGTACATTGATCATTTAACAAGAACACGGTAACGTTTGTATACATTGATTCTCACAAAATCTACTCCTTCTTGGGGCGAATTGCTTGAGGGGTGGGTAACTTGTCGAAATGCGCAACATATGTCATGAGATAGCTGTGCTTGAGTCCATTGCCCTGCACAAAACTCGTCAACGATGATAGTCTAGAGTGTACGATGAAAAGTGTACAATCATGGCACTAGGGAATCCAGGGTCGAATGGCAGAATGCTCTCAAGATAGGCGATCTGTTCTTCAGTCAAGACCAGGTCGAGGGCTTCGATATTGGCCATCAAGTGCTCGACTTTTCGGCCGCCGATGATGGGGAAGACGTAGGGCACTTTTTGCATCAAGTAGGCGATCGCCACTGTAGAAAGGCATGAAATCAGCCGAAGCGCAGAGAGGAAGAAGGAACGTAAGTACCAGAGGTAATATGCTTGGCACCGACTTCACCAGCCACCTTCTCCAGGGCAACAGACATCTTCTTTTCATCCTCATTCCGCTCCCAATTGGATCCAAAGAGCATGCGGCCCTTCTCGCCCGAAGCCCGCCGCGCCTCCTCTTCGGCATCCGTGCGCAGCTTGCCTCCGGCCAAAACATTCCACGGAGCCAGAGCCATGCCTTGCACGCAGAAGTAAGCACACAAGGCTCAGGAGGTCAAGTACAAGCACACGTACCGTATGAACGAGCCATGGGGATGATCTCGCGCTCAAAAGAACGGGCCATCACATTCCACGCGCCCTGGTAGATCACGAACTGGGACTTGCCCTGCTCGCGGGCGTGCTGGTTGGCCTGCGCGACGACCCACGCGGGAGTGTCCGAGACGCCGAGGTAGAGGACCTTGCCCTGCACGACGAGATTGTGCAATCCGTCCATGACCTCCTCGATGCTGGTGTCCCAGTCCCACCAGTGCACGTACAGGATGTCGATGTAGTTCGTGCGGAGCTTCTTGAGACTGGCGTCGACGCTGATGTTCATGGACTTGATGTTGTTGCCGAGGTAGTTGACTTTCTGAGCGTACTTTTCCTGCCGCAATTTGAACCCATAGGTGTACTGAGGACGAGTCAGTATCATCGTTTTAGAGACTCCAATGCGCGCGCGCGTACCTTGGTAGCAATGACCAGCTGATCGCGGATATCGCGCTTCTCTGCCCATTCGCCGATGAACATTTCCGAAGTCTCATCCTGGCTGCAAGAGGCTTCAGAGACTGAGCGAAGATAAACAGCACGGTCGCCGTACTAGTTGTTCGCAGTGTCGATAAAGTTTCCGCCCGCGTCGAAGTAGGCGTCGAGAAGCTTGAAGCTAGACTCCTTGTCCATCGATCCCATCCCCAGCTTCTCCCACTTGTCGCCGATGCTCATTCCGCCCAGCTGCAGAGGTGAGACATGCACCCCGGCGTGGGCCGAGAGAGAGCGATAGACACCGAGCTTGGTCGCAGGCTGAGGAGGGGGCTCCCAAAACGACATGTTGCTGGAAGAGGGATAGGAAACGGGAGACTGACAGAGAATAGGGCAAGAGAGGCACCCTTTTTATCTGGTTTTCATTCTAGCGCGGGGCTGGGAAGTGAGGCCAGGTGGCCAGATGTGAAGATGGGGCCAAGATTATCCTGCTGCGGCTGGCTTGCGCGTACAATGCCGATGTCAAAGCCAGGATCTTCCAGCGGAGTCCATCACTGTCAGCAAGTTCTCCAACGGATGGGAAACCTCAGAGCCCGGTCCAACTGGCACGAAGCCAGCCCTTCTTTGACGTCGAGTTGCCGAAAGTAGCAGTCAATGTACCGTCGTCCATAAGGGTCAAGGTCTGTTTTAGGAAAGTGCGATCATGATCCAATGCTGGGGTCCAGCGAGTGATCTCCAGTCACACCGTGACCTCTCCCTGGTGTGTCATTCGTCGTTACTCATCGCCTCGCCATCTCTTCATCCCATCGTTATCTGTCGCGTCGCGCTTGGACCAGCGCGGTCTATGTGTTCTTTGTGCGTACGGCTACAGCCTCTCATTCATATATATCCTAGCTACATATTTACACACCCTCTGTATTCAAACCCGATGAGAATTTTACAATTCTGATTACCCTCCGTAATACACGACCCTATCACTTTTCAAGGGAAAGGTCTGCTTTACCAACGGAAGAACGCGGAGACGCCTTCACCGACTCTCCCCCTCCTCCTCCACAGACGATGGGCCATTGCGATGGCTGCTCAAGCGCTCACACCTTGCCCGCCGTGTCAAGCCCTCAACAACAACGGTGTCAAGAACCCCAAACCGGACCGGCCTTTTTGACGCGGCAAGTCAAACTCACGTGATGGCCTCACATTAGCCGACAAGCAATGCTTTTTTCTGTAGAGCATTGGTCCTAGGGTCTCTCAACATCCTAATATTCGCCGTACAACGAAAAAAAAAATTGTTTCTGAAGTGCGAAAGTACTAGAAGCCGCTGTCACCATCGACGACGACGGCGCTTGCTGCACCGAAAATGTCCCCCGATATCACCTCACTAAGCAGATATGAGGCATAGGGTCACGGAGTGCCAGGACCCCCAGCACTTGGTAAGTTCCCATCATCAAGATAGACCTTGACCCTTATGGACGACGGTAGTCAATGTCACCGTGCTTATGATGAGAAGTGTTGTGACCATTTCATCATGTGTAATAGGTCCTGGTTCTAATTGACGTTTATAAAATACCCAGCTTAGGCCGGGGGTCTCTCTAACCGTAATGTGCCATGTTGATTAGCGCAGGATCCAGGGCGGAGCAGAGCCCATCCGACGAGCGCCTAGACTGTATCAATTTTGCTATTTGCACAATCTTCTTTACCAGAATTTAGAGGAAGGCCATCCAAAATCTCTGCGCCACTATGAAACACGCATCTGAAATGATCTCTTTTTTTGCGCATCGTCTGAAGAGTTCCAGTACACTTCATAAACATATCAGAGTTGGTCAGACACTCCAAAGTATTTTGTAGCCTTGAGCTCTGTCTGGGTGCTGGAATGACCAGTCTGAATTGGGTCCAGTCCGAATTAGGTCCAGCTAAAATTGGGCTCTTATTGAGCTTCCTGGGCCTGCACATCCATGACTTGTTGTGCGTGACCCATTACACAAAGGTCCTACGCAGATATTGCGTCCTCTCCGATTGTTTGTTTCTCAATATCTGCCCGAGTCAACCCCGAAATCTCTTTTACCAGCTAATTTTGTATGTCAATTTCGGACCCTGGACCACATACGGGTGGGGTGATTCACGGTAATTTGCCTATGCTGATTAGCACATGTCAGTCTGATCGGCCTATACTGTAGTACTTGATACCCGCAAGCATATCCCTAGTGAGTCGTGACCGGTTCAGGGAAGTTCCAGATTGGGCCGTTTTGCTTGCTATTGCTTGTGCGCCCTATGAGTTTGTGGATCGGGCCCAGAAGTTGGGAGTCCAAGATCGCCAGGGACTGGTTCTAATCTAGGATCCATTGCTGTTCACCCTATCTCTCTTCTATCGGAAGGCAGCAGTTTTTACGCGCCTCGTCTATCCGAAAGGCACTTCATCTAGGGAGAAGTAACTTGTTAGCACCGCGAGCTCCTAATATCAAGTTGCCTATCGATGGCTCCGAAAGATCTGCCACTGCCGCGGGGCCCGTCCAGCTCATCATCGTACAGCTTTCTCGCCTTGAGCCCTATCGATGCAACATTTACGGGAGAGGACTTGCACTCCCCATTCGCCCGATCGCTTATATAGCCACATCCCCTCGAGAAACTGTGCACGGATCTCCCGACCGTTGTGTGGGGGGTACCCAGCTGCGTAAGTCGAGAAATCAAGGAGACTTCAGATTGCAGTAGTAGACCAGTTGCGAGCCTGTCGGCTTACGAAGGGAGGTAGCCCAAGGCTGATCTAATGTTTTCCGGGGCAAAGCGCACGTCGTTGTCCCACCGCCTAATAAGATGCGATCAGCGGGAAAGCCATGGACAGGATAACGCGCTATGACGCGGCGGGGTATTGTGACGTGACGGTCACATCGCGGAGGACGCGTCTCCAGTCCTCCAACTTCAATGCCTACTTACTACTTACGAATTTCCCACTGAAATGCCGGGCACTGATCTTAATTGGGCATCTTTCTCGGCTTCTCTGCCAGGCTGAATGGAAAGGGTTCTGACTGCTCACAATGCGTGACATGCCTCCTTCGCCAGCGTCATCGTCATACCTGCCTTTGTGGTCGCACGAGCTCCTGCTACATTGCGCTCTAAAGATTCATTCAGGGCCCTTTTATATCCCCAAATATGCAACAAAGACACGTTCTCCTTCATAAGCCGTGGCCCTCTGGCAGTCATTCACCATCCTTTCCTTGTTCCTCCGCCCTCTTCATCCCATGTCGCACCCGACCACGCTGCTGCAGGCCACCAGCCGTGTCAACTCCCATGCCGAGGTAACAACACTGGACTCATGCTCTCCCGGGCGGCCGTCATAGACTCATGGGTGTTTTGTAGCAGCCACTTGAGGGCTCTCCGAGCCTTGAGCATCCCCTGCCGGCGAAACCTGACGTGCGGACTCACGGCGACCGGGAATGGAAGCGCAAGCGCGTCGATAGCCAGAATGATCCTCGCGGAGGTCAGTGGGAGGACGCTGGCCGTGCGGGGCACGGTCGGGGGAACAGGAGGGCGCTACCTTCTTTCAAGAAGATCTCTGCTTGCACTCTTCCATCATCGGCGAACATCAAGGATTCGACTGCGTTCCAGACCGGTGAAGGGGGAGGAAGAGGGACGCTCTCGGCGGTGTCGATGCCTCCCGTGATGGCTGCTGGTCAGTCAGAAGTGGTACCCGGGGATACTTTTGAGGACTTGCACGATCTTGCTCTAATCGCAACGGTCGGTGGTGACGTATATCGATGCATAGGCTCTGACGGACGGCGTTCATAGATTACCCAATCACTGCCGGATCCACGTCATCTTACAGCTAGATTGCAGATAATTGAACGGGCGAGTCTAGCTTCCACTTAACATTCCCCCTATGTGCGGTAGCTGACGCGGATGCATTGCAAGGAGCGAGACAATTTGATTGATGTGAGGCTTTCGACACTGTTTTCTCTCTTCCCTTAGTCTGATCCCGTGAGCAGAGGACTGCCAGCTTGCAACTCGAGATCTTGCTTCTTCGCAAGCGAGTCCAGAAACTCGAATTCCAGGTCGCTCCGTGCTCCAACAGCCGTCTTGTACGCTTTGACTGACCGCCGGCGCAGCTTCCACGCACCGGATCAGCGTCCGACGGCTCTGAACTGGAGTCAGAGGCGGAGCCGGAGTCGGATCTCACCGAGATTGAGGATAGTGGAGGGTCGGAACCGGAGGTGAGAAGCGCTGCTTTCCCGCCATCGCGGTCTGATCCCTAGCGTGACTAGCCGTTCGCGCCTCCAGCGGCTGACTGGGAGGAAGCGGACGTAGTTCCAGATGACGCGAACGAAAGCGAGGGCGAAGAGTCGGAGTACCAAGATGATAGCCAGAGCGACTATGGGGAGACTTCCAGTCAGAAATCTTCATCGATCATCGAGGTGCGCAAGCTTCGACCAGAGACGATGTGCGCTCTCTACTAACCGCGGCATGAAGAACGTCAGCTGGCTTCCTCCGAGAGTTACTCGGAATCAGACCAGACAAGTGATTCGAACCCTCTTGCTGCTTTCTCGCCCTGATCGGATCTGTCTTCTAGCGCCTGAATCTCGGTATCCCGGACTCGGAATCTGATTTCGATGACGACGAAAACAAGGTTAGCCACATTGCGATTTGCGGACCTCGTACTCGGAGCCGCGTCAAAAACGCAAAAAACGCTAAGCCGCACCTGGGTAAGCGCCGCTCGCGCGTGGTAGTGAGTGATCCGCCGTTTGCGATAAGATTTTCGCCCCTGACCGAAACTATTGAAAAGGTAGTGTCGGATGACGATGAAAGCGACGCTGGTGATGTATAGTGAGATGATGGGTGGTTCACGAACATGCCTTTTTCGCCTACCGGACTTGTCCGTCGTGCTCAGAGAGAAAGGGATGCATATTTATCTATCGCACTCATTACATTCTTAAGATAGCGGACATCCGCATCCATCGAGTCACGTGCACTCGTGACTGTCACGAGTCACAGCGCAAAATCTTTGGGACTGCAACTTGAACCTGCCGATTTTTGGATTTCGGGCACATACGAGTATCTATCGAGTCAAATACATCCAAAATAAATATTGCCTGCAAGACCCAGAACTCTCACTTGTGTTGGTGCAGAGCTTGCCAAGACATTCATCGCTGACTTTCAGCCAGCTTGCAAGATCCGCATCATTCTTCGGGATTGGCACATCGTCCTCGACATCCACATCGATAACCTCGTCCTCTCCGTCCGATCCTGAATCTCCTCCTTCGGCATCTGGCTCAGTCGACGAGACAGACAAGGTCCGCTGGCGCTTGGGAGGTCTCTCCTGTGCATAGTGACCGAGATTCTTTGCTTTATCAGCCCCTTTTTGCTTTGGCATAGCACAGATGACGATCTAAGGCTCTGGCAGTGGTGTAGGACATGGCAATTTGGCAAAAAAAAGAGATTGATTCGACATACACGTGACCAAGAAGGATCACATGATGTGTCCACGTAAGCATACACGTGATTGCGCAAAATCTTCGAGCACTTTTCTTTGCAAGTCGAGTAGGCGGAAATCCAGAACCACAGAGTTGTTCGTATACCTAAGTACACCATTTCTGCATACTTTGTTTCTCCATAAGTTTCCCCCTCCTTGGCTGTTGTCGCCGTCACGCTTGGACCACGTGACTCGATGGATGCGGATGTCCGCTATCTTATCGATAATCATATCCTTGGCTAAAATTTTGATGTTCCATGACGATTACTTAATCCATCTTTGTTCTCCCGTCCCCCACAAACATTCACCCGAGTCCCTCGAATTTCCTCAACCACGATCCATGGACGTAGACGACTACGATGAACTCTCCGACCTCACCGATTCGGACGAATATGAAGACGGACCGAAGCGTCGCAAGAGCGCGAAGGGGAAGGGCAAAGCAGCCGCAGCGGGCGGATACCAGATTCGGCACGCACTGAAGGCGCCTCGCGCGACGACTTACACGACTGAGGCTCTACACAGTGCGTATTCCTCTCCATCCTTCCGTGTCAGCAACAGCAGTAGCACCTACTTACGAGCGCCCCACATCGGCAGAGCAGATGCACGACTCGGACATCGAGCTCGAACCCGAATACCAGCGCGGTCTGTCAACCCCGTCGTGCGTTTTCCGCGTCTATGACTTAGTCCCACTTGCTCAGAGGTCGTCTGGCCCGCCGCGAAGCAAATCAGCCTCATCGACTCCATCTTCCGCAACTTCTACATCCCACCAATCATATTCGGTACGCGCCCGCGCCCACGGCTTCTATCATGCATTGCGACGCAGCTCTGAGGCTTTTTCAGCTGTGCAGCAGGACGACGAGGGTGCGGAGAAGCGGGTGTGCATCGACGGGAAGCAGCGGCTGACTTCTATACTGCTGTGCGTATTCGCGTGGTTCTGGTATCGGGGGCGACTAATTTCTTGCGTCTTCGAGGTTCATGGATGGTATGGTGCGTGAGAATCGGTACGGATACTCTTTGTGCGGCTCACTCGGCTTCAGATCCCACGTAGGTCGCCGCGCGTTTTCCGCACGCCGCAGAATACTGATCTGCATACTACACGCTCACAGACAAAGACCCGTGAGCAACTCTTCTGTCTTTAGCATCTTCGCACCAATCTCACGCGCGTTCAGCCTGACAGGTGACAAGATATGGTACATCGACAACCCCGCGTACAAGATGAGGATGGCCAAGAAGTTGCTGCCAGAGAGATACAAAAAGATGTTTCAGAACAAGGCGATCGTGTGCGTCGAGTACACGGATTTGACGCCTGAAGACGAGAGAGAGATATTCAAGGTTCGTGTCTCCGGCATGCAGCGCGTGGCAAGGTCCTCTGACAACGTGTTCTGTAGCGCGTGCAACTGGGTGTTGCGCTTACACCAGCTGAAAAACTACGCGTACTGACCTCTCCGCGAGCCGACTTTCTTCGCGAAATCCAGGAGAACTTCCTCAACAACGAAGACTCGAGTATGTGCCGTGCGTCCTTCGAGTGGGACCGCAGTCGCGGTTCCGACTACCGCTGTCTGGCGCAGATGTTCCACTGCATCGCGGCGTCTCCCAAGGCCTCAAGCATGCCGCAGATGGAGAAGTGGCTTTCGCAGGAGGCTCCGCTAGCCAAGCCGTTCCGGGTGGACATCGAAAACACATTCAAGGTGTACGAGGCGTTGGTGAGACTCGGCGTGCTCAATAAGGTGTCCCCCATCGAGTTCATCACGATCGGCATCCTCATCTTCCGCACCAAAGACGCGCTGACGTTGGCCAATCTGGGGGCCGCGGTCACCGCCATGCGCGCAGATGTGCGTTCGAAGCATAGCGACATCCGGAACAACAACGCGGTATACGGGACTATGCGCAAATTTATCGAGTCGTACCAGGGACCAGCACTGGGTCACGGGGAGCTGTCGGCCCAAGATTCCGTGCTGCAGGGCGCGGGCAAGACAGCGCTGGGCTCCAAACGCAAAGCAGCCAGGCCACTCGAAAGCGATGCCGAAGAGGCAGCGGAAGATTCTGACGCCGACTACGTCCCCGCGCAAAAGCCCTCACCTCCGAAAAAGCGAGCGGCCAAGACGACGAAGTCACCGATGACGCCGCCGATGTCGATGACCCCTCCGTCCGCCGTCGCGGCGCCGTCTGCCGTCGATGTCATACGGCAAGCGAAGGAGAAGATCCGCGCGCAGGCAACTGCGGCTTCAGCTTCAGCTTCGGCTTCGGCTTCGGCTTCGGCTACATCAGCGGCAACGGCCAATACGAGCGCTAGCCACCCGCCACGACCGCCGCCGCCGTCCCTCGCGCTGCCGAGACGACCAGATGGCGCACTCCCCCCCTCGTCGCAGCAGCAGAGTGCCAACACCGTCGCCGCGGCGCTGGAGGCGAACCTTATGTCCGGCACCGGGCCGCGCAGGATCAAGGTCGAGCCGGGGTCGAGCCACCCGCCTTGGACCCCCGCCAGCGGCAGAGAGCGGTGGGACAGGCCCGAGCATGAGCACAAGTACACGGCCCTGTCGACGCCGCACGCGCCGTATGCGCACGATTCTGGCAGGGCTAGGCAGCAGCCGCCTCCATCGAGCAGGGATCGGGAGCAGGACCGGCGGTCCTATGACAGTCGCGATTACCGGGACCGCGATCGCAATTGGCGGTAGCTGCTGATACATATTGGTTGTTCTAGTTTTTTATCATGTGCTCGCAGTTTTTGTGAATTGCGGGTGTAAGATATGTAGTCGTTTAATGAGTAGGTACGCTAGTGACTGAGTATATCACCGTACATTTTTTGTTTGTTCAGACGATGACTTTCGGACCGGAGAAACCCTCCTGCGCCAGAGCCTTTTAACTTTTCTGCATCTCACCCGTCCATCCATCCTCCTCGACGACTTCAACCGCATCCGGTCCCCCATCATCACACATGGACACTATGAGAATCGCCAACGAAAACCTGGCCAGCATCGCAACCGCGCTGGGCTGCACGAGCACGCCGACGGTCGTCCCGCTCGACAGATTCCAAAACGCAATCTGCAAGAAATCGTAGCCAGCGGCCAAGCACGCGACCTCGACTGCGTCGCACGTCGTCTGCAATTACCGTGTCCGACGCCACCGCTGGGTCAAACTGCATATGCGAGAACCAATCAGCCGCTGGATCATGTCCGCTTTGTTGACCTAGGCGCAGTCCGCCAGGGGCAGCAGGTCCATGAACACGGCATAGAAATCGGTGATCATGTCCCACGAAGTGCATGGCATGTTGAAAGGAGGTGCTGCTCGAACCGGGCAGCATCCTGCGTGCAGAGGCGCTCCTGGTTGTTCTTTACACGACTGTATCGGATGTCGCCCTATCGCGGAGCTGACACGAGCGGCTCGGGGTAGCAGCTGGTAGCGCGCAGAGGCGCAATGATCCGCCGCTGGTAGTCCGAGCGCAGGACGTCTGTCGCAAGCGCCCAGCTGCGTTGCGCCGTAGGAAAGATCATCTGGCCGGCGGAGTAAACGAGACACATGATAGCCGTCTGCTCGTGCGTCAGTCATGCGAATGGCGGGGCGTTGGGGCCGACTTGCCCGCCAGAGAAATCTGGCGCAGCAGTCTGCGCTTCTCCTTGTTGTCCTCCCCAAATTTTGCAGCTGGGTGCAGACGCGTATCCTCCACTAGCCGCTCCGCAAATAGCCGCGCTACGGCAACATACAACGCCCAGTACTTGACGTCCGGGCCAGTTGGGTTACGACTCCCTCGTTGTTGGCGGCACCGATTTCATGCGGGTTCTATTGACGCGAAGCTCCTGGCCTGTGTCCCGGTGCTCTGTATCAGCCAGTTCGTACGGACGCCACTGTCGGGGGTAACTCCCGCTCATCCACCGTCATCAGCACCAGTGTGTTGAGCAGGTCCTTCCAGTAGCCATACGATTGTCGGAATTCGCTCTTCTCTGCTTTGACGCGCACAGGCTTGACGAGAAGGCGGAAGTTCGAGACCTCGAGTGCCCAATCCATACCCGGTCAAGCAAGCCCGCCGTCTTCGCGAAGCCTACACGCTACGTGAGCTGTTATAGCGCGTCCGGTGTCCCTTATTCGGTGGAAATATATGCGGGAGTGCCGTTCGCTGTGGTCCTGCAATTGGAATGGCCCCGCCGTCATCGGATCGCTGGGCGGCCGCGACGGAGAAGCGTCGGAATCGGGCGGGTAGAGGTCATCGAGGATATAGTCGTTGAAAATTTCCTCGATGTGGCGCAGAGCGGGGCTCTTGACTGACTTCGTGAATGAGACTAGGGGGCGTTCCACATGGCGAGCGAGGAGAGCGCAGGTGCGAGTGCGGCTGCTCGTAGATATGTACTGCCGAACACATCTCTTGATTTCGAGTGACTGATGGACGCTGGCGGTTCCGCTGCGGCGCTGAAGATAAGTACTGGTAAGTACTAAGAAGTACTTACATAACGAGGGAGATCGACTGGCTCTGGGATCCATCATCCCGCCAACGCTTCCGAGTCGTTCACAGCCACCGCCCATCAGAGGCGTGACAGATGATGTGACCATTGACTGCTCATCTCTGGGCTGGCCACTATGTTTTCTCTTGAACTACAGTATTTGATCATCGATTCTCTCCAACTCGACAGCACGACATACCCTGCGCTCAATTTCCGCTCCGAACGGCTGCGCACGGCCGGTATCCGACCCGATGACCTCTCCTTCCGTCTCGTCTGCTCGAGCTGGCACGACCACACCTCGCAGGCTGTCCTCGGACTCTTCAAGGACATAACTCTGCAGGACACCCGCCATGCAGCACGCTTCTGCACTCTCGTGCGCACCAGTCCACGCGCGGGTATCCGCGTGCAGAATCTCACAGTCCGCGTGGACAATCTCGAAGTCCGCGTGCAGAATCTCGCAGGGATCCACCCGTCCTTCAATGAGGTGTTGATGGATCTACTGTCGGAGGACATGCAAGAGCGGCTCCCGAACCTGCGCAAGATCTCCTTCCGAAACCTGCAGTTCTCAGCCATCCCGCGTGACAAGCGGCTGGGCACTTGGACTCAGGTAGCAGCGGTGTCCTTCAACGAGGATTGTGTCTTCAAGACCGTGGATGGCCTGTGGGACTGGGTTGCGCTCTTTGCGGGGTGCGGCTGTCTTTCCTTTGGCCATATTTGCCAGAAGAGACCGCCCTCAAGAAGAGTGGCAACTCCACTGGACCCTCCGCGCGTTCACCTGCAATGTCTGCGCTTCTTTTCACTGAGCTCTAGGGTTTCGTGGATCCCCGCAGCGTTAGCCTCCCCACATCTCCGCGTTGATCGGCTGGAACTGATCATCCGCGAATTGTCCCATTATCTGCCCCTTCTACGCATCCTCTCTCCAAAACTCCAAGATCTGGATCTTTTCCGTATGGTCCCTCACGAAACCCCTCTAGAACTGGGGGATGGCTGCTGCACCGAGCTGCATACGTTCACCCTCGCTCGTGTGATCCCTATCTCGGAGGAGATGCCTCTCGCGCTGTCCGACATTCGAGCGATCCTTCGCGCATCACCCAACCTATCCCGCATCCGATTTACCTTTTGTGAGCCCATCAGCCACCCCACATTGTCACAGACGGCATGGGCCTGGAGCATTCTGGATACTGTCCTCGCTGGAACGGTCTACAATGTTTGCATCAGATTTCTTTCCCCCTTCAGATCCCCAGGAGATCTGCGACAGCTGGAATGCGAGAGTGCCCTGAAAGCGTACATGCCTCGGCTTACCGATCTCGGTGCTCTCCAATTTGAGTACGAGTAGGATGGGGCTCTTCTCTGTTGTTGTTTGCTCCACGAGTTGATTGCACATGATATACTCAGATGGACCCAAATCTCCACACATAGATATTCGACTATATAGTTATGTGACCTCTCTTGCGAATCTTGACACTACGATGACCAGGTTCCAATGAGCTCATGAGCGTGAGGGCCAGCATGTCTGTCGGTGTCAAGTCTCGGCCGCAACAAAACAGATCACAAAGCTGACATTCAAAGTCGGGCACAAGCCAAGTCCGTGCGCGAGCGGCGAGCCGCACAAGGCAAGACCCAATCAGCCAAATTCAAACTTGGAAATGGGGGATAAGCCCCTGAGACAAGCCAGCGTGTGAAATCTGCCATGACAAAATCACAGTGTGACATAGTCTCGTCATGTCTGGACCAGCACCTACCATACCTCTTGAACTGCAGTATCTGATCATCGACGCGTTCCACGCAGACAGCTTGGCGTCCTCAAAATCCAATCGCCATGTCCCCGCCACTGGGTTCCAATCCTCTGACCTCCCCCTCCGTCTCGTCTGCTCGAGCTGGCACGACTACACCTCGCGGCTTTTCTTCGCACTCCTCAAACACGTAGTTCTACGCAAAACCGACCACATAGTGCGCTTCTGTGCGCTGGTGCGCGCGAGTCCGCGTGCGGCGGCACTTGTGCAAACTCTTGCCGCGATCCATAGACTGTCGGTCACAGCAGACATTGCGGAACTCCTGTCTGAGGACATGGAACAGCGCCTTCCGAACCTGCGCTGGGTTCGATTCAAGGGTGTGCAGTTTGCGGCCATCCCGCGCGAGAAGCGAATGGGGACCTGGGCCCAGTTAGAGAAAGTGTACTTCGATGGGGGGCTCGGCGTCGAGACCGCGGACGGCGTGTGGGACTGGGTTGCGTTCTTTGCGGCGTGCAGATCCCTTCACTTCGCGGGGTGGATCGAGGACACACCCCTCCTGAAAGGACTGGTACTTCCGCCGGACCCTCCGCGTGTCCACCTGCGGTCTCTGACCTTCAATTGGCGCAGCAAGGAGCCGGTTATCGCGGCGTTGGCCTCTCCAAACCTCCGTGTCGATAAGCTGGCATTGGTTATCTACGACCAGTCCTGCTACACACCCCTTCTCCGCGTCCTCTCCTCTAAGCTCTACGAGCTGTCGCTCTTTCGCTTCCACCGCCGCCACGGCGTCGCCGTCCCTCTAAACCTGGCCAATGACTGCTGCACCGAGCTACACACGCTGAACCTTGATTTCGGGAACCTCAGTGCGCAGGAGATGGCTCTCGTGCTGTCTGACGTCCGAGTAATCCTTCGCGCATCACCCATTCTATCCTGCATCCGACTTGGGATTCCCTGGGCCGCCACCGTCGATCAGATAACACTCGTGGCACAGGCCTGGAGCGAACTAGATACACTACTCGCCGGAACCGTCGACCGTGTCTGCATCCACTTCACCAGCTCTCCGGAGCCGCTCAGTTTAGAGAATGCCCTAAAAGCGTGCATGCCTCAGCTGACTGATCTCAGTGCTCTCCAATTTAAGACAAGAAAAGAGCAGCCGGTCCTTTCCCTTGCCTTGACGCACGGACCGTGGGAAGAAGACTCCTGATACGTTTACGTGCGAGCGCTCGGCCTGTGTTAGCGGTCCAGTACGATTACAGTATCCCAGTACTATTGATCGAAACGAAGCGGTTAAACTGCAACAAAGCGGTTATTTCGCTCTAGCTCTCTTACCTCTGTAGATATCCCTCCGGAACTTTTTGCAATTCATTCTTATACATGCAAGCTTGCTGAATCCCGGATACCCGGGGAAAATACGAGAGGAAACAGCTTGATGAGCCCTGCCGGTCCATCAAATCCAGTGATTTCACAGTATCCTCACTCATTCTCGTCCATCCGTTAGTTCTTTCGGGCCAGAAAAAGACTGGAACATTTCTGGGGTGTTCTACTTGCATAAACCATGCTTGCTTTTCTATTCCGGGAGATGGGTGTTGAGAGCGAACTTGAATCACCAAGTATCACAAAATGTCACATTACGGACAGTGATGGATCTGATGGCTGCACGCACACTGGCGGAAAGCTGTGTTGATCCACTTCACGTGCTACTTATGCGATCAGTAAATCTGATGATCGGAGTTTCAAATGTCACGCTGTGAGCGATGAGGACTTGTGAACCAGACTCGCATCCCGGAATAAAAAAACAAGCATGGTTTATGCAAGTAGAACACCCTAGAAATGTTCCAGTCTTTTTCTGGCCCGAAAGAACTAACGGATGGACGAGAATGAGTGAGGATACTGTGAAATCACTGGATTTGATGGACCGGCAGGGCTCATCAAGCTGTTTCCTCTCGTATTTTCCCCGGGTATCCGGGATTCAGCAAGCTTGCATGTATAAGAATGAATTGCAAAAAGTTCCGGAGGGATATCTACAGAGGTAAGAGAGCTAGAGCGAAATAACCGCTTTGTTGCAGTTTAACCGCTTCGTTTCGATCAATAGTATGACAGGAAAAATGGGGCTCTTCTTTGTTTTCGTCTGCCCATCCATGAGTTCCGGCAGGGTCCGGCAGCGCCGGCCGCCATCGAGCAGGGATCGGGACCAAGACTGGCGGTCCCATGATAATCGCGCACGATCGTAGGAACTGGGGCTGCTGATGTTGTGTGTTTGTTGGCTTGTGTCGTCCCCGCATTTTCTACATTGTGATTGACTGATAAAGACAATTCATCAATTCTCATGCTGGTCAGTACCACTGCGGACCATGTAAATTATCGCCCTGGTATCACACGGAATGTTCTGCGCATTGTACATCTCTTGATTATTGAGCCAGGGACCTCCAGACCGGAGACACTCTCCAGCGCCAGAGCCTTTTTCAGCACAGTCAGTGGATTCCAGTTGCTTGTGTGCACATCCATCCTCCTCGACGACATCAACCGCGTTCTTTTCCTCATCATCACCCACAAACACCTCGAGCATTACTGGCGAGAACCCAGTCATCATCGCAACTTCGCTCCATTGCGCCAGCGCATCGACGTCGGCTCCCTCGACAAAAAGTTCAGAATACAATCTTCAAAACGTGGTATCCAAAGGCCGAGCCTGAGTACGCTGCCTCAAACGCGTCGTATGTCGGACAACTGGGCGGGGAGCAGGGAGAGCGCGAATGCGGGCGAGATGTACTGCACGGCCTATTTGCTGAAGCCTGAAGCGCGTACCAAGCGACTCCATCGAGGCCGAGACATCGCAGATCGCAAGCGCCTTGTCGAAGCGGGCCGTGACCCGCAGAGTGCGCACCTGCGTCTCCCACTGCGTGTCTACCACACGGATCATGGCCGCCCTCAGCGCCGCGTTGTGCTCCGCCAGTGCCGGAATTGCACCGTCCTTGCGGTCGCTCGAGAGCGCCAAGAGATCCACCACGAGCTCGAGGGGAAAGAGGGTCACCCCACTGATTGTCCTGCGCCACTTCTCGGCCGAGAGAAGGGACTGCTTGAACCGGGCCCGTACTGCACGTACAAGCGCTCCTGTTGGTTCTTCATGCACACGGCTGGGACACGGATGTATCGGATGTGCACCCCATCGCCGCGATTGTCGCTATTGGCGCGCAGACTCGGGAGGATCCACCGCTGGCAGCACGATCGCAGTAGGATATTCGTCGCTTCGCGTGACTTGAGCGTCGAGTTGCTCAGCGCCGTTGGGAAGCTCATCTGGGCTGCGGAGTAGACGATGCACATGATGGCCGGGGAGATGCTCGCGGGGCGGTTGTATCTGGTTGGACGCGTCCAGCATCGCCGATCCAGTCGAGCCACTTGTGGGAGCGCCATTCCGTTCGCTGTGGTCGGACGATTGGCGTGGTCCTGCAGCGCAGCGATCATCGCGCTGCTTGACGGCGGTGAGGAGGTGTGAACCGCGGCCGGCAGAAAGCCATCCAGAAAGAACTCGGTGGGGAGCTGCTCGATGTGGGGCAGAATGGGTGCGCAGACTGCGTGCAGGAGACACGGGAGGGATTCCGAATGGCGAGCGACGAGAGCACTGTGGTAGCTGTGGTTGTTCTTATAGATCACCCAGGGCATCTCTTGACTGCGAATGCTTGGGAGACGTGTTTCAGTAAGTTTAACCACAATGATCGATTCTGCTTCGATCACAGCCATCTATCGACATGACGAAGCAACGTTCCAGAACATGTGACCATAGACTGGTCATGTCTGGACTAGCACCGACTCTACCCCTCGAACTGCAGTATTTGATCATCGACGCGTTCCACGCAGACGGTGCGACATCCCCCGAATCCAATCCCCATTCCCCCACCGCTGTGATCCGATCCTGTGACCTCCCCCTTCGTCTCGTCTGCTCGAGCTGGCATGACTACACCTCGCAGACTCTCCTCGGACTCTTCGAAGGCATAATTCTGCGCAACGACAGCCAAGCAGCACGCTTTTGCAGTCTCGTGCGCACGAGTCCGCGCGCCGGTATCCGTGTGAAAAGTATCGTTGCGTCCCACCTTTCCGTCACTGCGGTGTCGTCGGATTTGCTGTCGGAGGACATGCAAGAGCGGCTCCCGAACCTGCATTGGCTATTCTTCTACGACCTGCGGTACACGGCAATCCCGCGCGACCAGCGGCTGGGCACCTGGACTCAGGTAAAAAAGGTGCATTTCGACGGGGACTATGTTATCGAGACCGTGGATGGCCTGTGGGACTGGGTTGCGCTCTTTGCGGAGTGTGGCTCTCTTACTTTCGTCGGGATGCTGTGCAAGGCCCCGATCCCAATGGGAGTGGTACCGCCGTCGGACCCTCCACGTGTCCACCTGCGGTCTCTGATCTTCGATGTGTCCAGCATCATGAGGCCGACCTTTCCCGCAGCGTTGGCCTCCTCAAATCTCCGCGTCGATAAGCTGACACTGCTCATCTACGACGCGTCCTGCTACACAGCTCTCCTCCACGTCCTCGCCCCAAAGCTCCAAGAGCTGCGGCTCTCGCGCGCCAACTTCCTCGACGCAATTCCTCTAAAAATGGCGGATGGCTGCTCCCCCGAGCTACACACGGTCACCCTCCGTCTCGTGAACCTCAGTGCGCAGGAGATGACTCTCGTGCTATCTGACATCCGAGTGATCCTTCGCGCATCACCCAATCTATCCCGCATCCTATTTACACTTCCCGACATGGCCACCGTCGATCGGGTGACACTCGTGGCACAGGCCTGGGGTGAACTGGATACACTACTCGCCGGAACTGTCGACCGTGTCTGCATCAGACCGATTTACTCCGACTATGCAGAAGTTTCGTGGCGGCCTGGATTGCAAAATGTTCTGACTACGTGTATGCCTCAGCTGACCGATCTCGGTGCTCTCCATTTTGAGCCAAGAGAATTCCGGCCATCTGGCCATCTTGTGTGGAACTGACGCTGGCCAAGCCGTTGATGCACTCGCTGTGTGCGTTGGCAACTACAGTTCGGCCTAGCGCCGGCACCCATGCGACCTGGGTGCACTTATAATTCTATGCAGCTAGCTGACTGCCTCGTATATTGGCATTGAGAACAAGAGCACTTGGACCAGCACTTTAGCGGCGACTTGACGGCCGTGAGGATTCGGAAGTAAACAAGGACGTGCAACGATCCATCAATCCATTGAAGAGTATTATGCGCTCGACGACGAGAGCCTGAATCGAATGCTTTCCGTAGGTCCCCCGTTCGAGTTGGGCGGGCATTCCTTACTATTCGATGCAGGCTATCGGATCGTGTTGCTGTCACAGCGTCAGAACGGCGGGCAAAAGCGAAGCCAAAGCTGTTGGGATCACATCATTTCCTGTCGGCTGGGCTCGACGGGTATCTTCGCCGCTAAACGCGCTTAACCTCCTTGGTCAGAGACTCCCCAATCTGCCTCAAGTAGACTTTTGCCTCTCGCGCTGTCCGACATTCGAGCGATCCTTCGCGCATCACCCAACCTATCCCGCATCCGATTTACCTTTTGTCGGCCCATCACCCACTCCTTAGTGTCACGGACAGCATGGGCCTGGAGCATTCTGGATACTGTCCTCGTTGGAACTGTCTACAATGTTTGTGTCAGATTTCTTTACCCCTTCAAAGACCCAGGAGATCTACGACAGCTGGAATGCGAGAGTGCCCTGAAAGCGTGCATGCCTCGGCTTACCGATCTCGGTGCTCTCCAATTTGAGTACGAGTAGGATGGGGCTCTTCTCTGTTATTGTTTGCTCCACGAGTTGATTGCACATGATATACAGATGGACCCAAATCTCCGCACATAGAGTAGATATTCGACTATATACTTATGTGACCTCTCTTTCGAATCTTGACATTATGATGACCAGGTTCCAATGAGCTCATGAGCGTGAGGGCCAGCATGTCTGTCGGTGTCAAGTCTCGGCCGCGACAAAACAGATCACAAAGCTGACATTCAAAGTCGGGCACAAGCCAAGTCCGTGCGCGAGTCGCAAAAGCCGAGACCCAATCAGCCGAATTCAAACTCCGAAATAGGGGGTAAGCCAGCGTGTGCAATCTGCGATTACAAAATTACAATGTAACTCTTCATGTCTGGACTAGCACCTATCATACCGCTTGAACTGCAGTGTCTGGTCATCAATGCTGTCCACGCCAACAGCACGACATACCCCTGGATCGATGGCCGTTTCCAAGAGCTGCACAGGGCCGGAATCCGACCCGATGACCTCCCCCTCCGTCTCGTCTGCTCAAGCTGGCATGACTACATCTCGCAGCTTTTATCCGAACTCTTCAAGCACATCAATCTGCGCGACACCCGCCATGCAGCACGCTTCTGCACTCTCGTGCGCACGAGTTCACGCGCGGGTATCCACGTGCAGAGTCTCAACGCGATCCACCTGTCCGTCACTGAGGTGTTGACGGATCTGCTGTCGGAGGACATACAAGAGCGGCTCCCGAACCTGCGTAAGATCTCATTTCAGTACCCGCAGTTCGCTGCCATCCCGCGCGACAAGCGGCTGGGCACCTGGACTCAGGTAGAAGAGGTGCACTTCGACGCGGATTATGGCTTCGAGACAGCGGATGGCTTGTGGGATTGGGTTGCGCTCTTTGCAGGGTGCAGCTCTCTTTTCTTCGGGGGGTCTATCAGGAACAAAGCCATCCGGGAAGGAGTGGTACCCCCATCGGACCCTCCACTCGTCCACCTGCGGTCTCTGACCTTCGATACATCAAACATCAGGGAGCCCGCTATTCCCGCAGCGTTGGCCTCCTCAAATCTCCGTGTCGATAAGCTGACGCTGGTCATCTGCGACCCATCCTGCTACACATCCCTTCTCCGCGGCCTCTCCTCGAAGCTCCAAGAGCTGTCGCTCTCACGCGCCAACTTGCGCGACACGACCCCTCTCAAACTGGCGGATGGATGCTGCCCCGAGCTACACACGGTCACCCTTCATCTCGTTGACCTCAGTGCGCAGGAGATGCCTCTCGTGCTGTCTGAGATCCGAGTGATCCTTCGTGCGTCACCCTACCTATCCCGCCTCCGATTTCTGCTTCCCCAGATGGCCAATGCCAATCGGGTGACACTCATGGCACAGGCCTGGGGCGAACTGGATAGATTGCTCGCTGGAAATGTCGGCCATGTTATTATCTACGTCATTAGACCCCCGCGTCACGCAGAAAATCCGAGGCAGCTCGGATTAGAGAGTGCCCTACAAGCGCGCATGCCTCAGCTGACTGATCTCGGTGCTCTCCAATTCAAGCCAAGTGAAGAGAAGTGGTCCTATTTCAAAGTGCGGGCCTGACAAAGGGAAAGCTGCTAATACGTTCATGTGCAAGCGTTCGCGCCTTCGGTTTGGCTTCGGTCTGTGTTTTCGGTTCAGTACGGTATCCCAGTAATGACAGAAAGAATGTGGCTCTTCTTTGTTATCCACCCGTCTACTCAGCCATGAGAATCCGACAAGGCCCGGCAGCACTAGCCACCACCGAGCAGGGATCGGGGGTAAGGGCGGCTCACTGCGCAGCTTCTGATCATCAAGTCAACGACCTCCAGACCGGAGAAAATCTCCAACATCAGAACCCTTTGCAAAACAGTAGATTCAAGTCACTTGTGTGCACATCCATCCTCCACAACAACATCAACCACGTCCGTTTCCTCATCATCACCCATAAGCACCTTGAGCATCACGGGAAAGAACCTGGTCATCATCGCAACTTCGCTCCGCTGCGCCAGCGCGTCGACAGTGGCCCCGCTCGACACAGTCCAGGATGCGATCTGCAGAACATCGTGAGCCATGGCCAAACACACTGCTTCAATCGCGTCGTCCGTCGGACAACTGGGCGGCGTGCAGGGAGAGCGCGACTGCGGGCGGGATGTGGGACATGACCAATTTGCCGAAGTGCATACCAAGCGATCCCATCGAGGCCGAGACATCGCAGATCGCAAGCGTCTTGTCGAAGCGGGTCGTGACCCGCAGACTGCGCACCTGCGTCTCCCACTGCGCCTCCACCACACGGATCATGGCAACCCTCAGCGCGGCGCTAGGCCAGTGCCAGAATCACGCCGACCTAGTGGTCGCTCGAGAGCGCTAAGACATCCACCACGAGCTCGTGAGGGGAGAGGGTCACCCTGTGCCGCTTCTCGGTCGAAAGGAGGTACTGCTCAAACCGGGCAGCGTCCTGCACGTGAAAGCGCTCCTGTTGATTCTTCATGCACACTGCTGGGACACGGCTGTATCGGATGTCACCCCATCGCCGCGATTGTCGCTAATGGCGCGCAGAGGCGTGGGGATCCACCGCTGATAGCGCGATTGCAGGATATTCGTCGCTTCGCGTGACTTGAGCGTCAAGTTGCTCAGCGCCGTTGGGAAGAGCTCCTCGATGTAGGGCAGAGTGGAGTGCGCTGACTGCGTTAAGGAGACACGGGATGCGTGCCGGATGGCGAGCGACGAGAGCGCCGTGGTAGCTGTTCACCACAGCCACCTATTCACATGACCAAGCAACGTGCTAGAACATGTGACCATAGACTCGGCTGTCTGCACTACTACTACTACTACTAAGTAGTACGAGTAGCACTTATCATACCTCTTAAACTGCAGTATCTGATCATCGACGCGTTCCACGCAGACGGCGCGACATCCCCTGAATCCAATGTCCGATCCTATGACCTCTCCTTCCGTCTCGTCTGCTCGAGCTGGCATGACTACACCTCGCAGACTCTCCTCGGACTCTTCAAGGACATAACTCTGCACGACACCCGCCATGCAGCATGCTTCTGCACTCTCTTGTGCACGAGTCCGCGCGCGGGTATCCGTGTGGAGAGTCTCGTCGTGAACCGCCTTTCTGTCACTGAGGTGTTGACGGATCTACTGTCGGAGGACATGCAAGAGTGGCTCCCGAACCTGCGGTCGATCGGATTTCAGCATCCGGAGTTTATTTCCATCCCGCGTGACAAGCGGCTGGGCACTTGGACTCAGGTAGAAGCGGTGTCTTTCTACGGGGACTACGACTTCGAGACGGCGGATGGTCTGTGGGACTGGGTCGCGCTCTTTGCGGGGTGTGGCTCTCCGTCCTTTGCCTTTGCCGGGAGTCTCCGGAAGATACCAACCCCAAGAAAAGTAGCACCTCCACCGGACCCTCCACGCGTTCACCTGCATTCTCTTACCTTCGATGGATGGAGCTCCGTCATTTGGTGGCTTCCCCGCAGTGTTGACCTCACCACATCTCCACGTTGATAAGCTAGCATCGGTCCTCTATGCACTTTCCGACTATGCACCCCTTCTACACCTCCTCTCTCCAAAGCTCCAAGAGGTATCGCTCTCGCGCTCCAACCACTGGGACGCCACCCCTCTAGAACTGGCGGATGACTGCTGCACCGAGCTGCATACGTTCACCCTCCATCTCGAGATCCTTAGTTCGCAGGGGGTGCCTCTCGCGCTGTCCGATATCCGAGTGTTCCTTCGCGCATCACCCAACCTATCTCGCATCCGATTTCTCATCGCTTAGCCGAGCCCCTGCCTGTTGTCACTGCTGGCACGGGCATGGGGCAAACTGGATACACTCCTCACAGGGACTGTCGACCATGTCTTCATCAAACCGGTTCACTCTCCAGATCATGCAGGAGATTTGTGGCAGCCCGGATTAGAAAGCGTTCTGACAGCGTATATACCTCAGCTAACTCATCTCGGTACTCTCCATTTCGAGCCAAGAGAAGACAAGCCTTTTGGCTTTCTTGTGTAGACCTGACACTGGCGAAGCTGTTGATGCATTTGCTGTGTATGTTTACGCCTACCGCTCGGCCTCCCGCCGGCGCCCATTCCCGATATCCTTGCACTGCTTCGAGACACGGGCGCATGACGCGCTCGTCCACAGTCCGGACCGCGTGCCCGCCATTGGGATCGCTTTTGGCGTCGAGCTGGAGTACCACCGACTCAACACAGCGCTCCAGTCAACCCGACGTCGCTCTTTCGTGGTCAATTGAACCGGTGGCGACCGCAAGCACGACGGGTGCCACATTGTACACCAAGACGATGAGCGCCTTGAGCTGCTGGTCGTGCTGTACCACTCCCAGCCAGCGCAGGAGAACCGCGGCGCCGGGGGTCTGGGTGACAATTGTCACATGGCGGCTAATGCGCCTGGTAAGCGTGCTGGATGTCAGTCGAGGCATTTGTAGCGGGAAGGAGTAGATGACGGACACGAGGGAGCACCAGTAACTGTATGTGGCCAGCGGATTACACTGTGTACTCATATCGCGAACAACAGCACTTGTACCAGCACTTGAGCGTCAGCTTGACGACCCGGAGGATTCGGAAACAAACAATGACCTGCAAGGATCCATCAATCCAGTGAGGGGCGTTCTGTGTTCCCCGAGGAGTGCCCGAATCGAATGCTTTACGTAGGTCCCACGTTCGAGTTGGGTTATCGGATCGTGTTGCTGTCACGGGCCCACGGCGTTAGAACGCCGGGCAAAGGAGAAGCCAAAGCTATCAGGATCACTTGATTTCCTGTCGGCTAGGTCGCACCAGCTTCCAGACGCTCGTCGGGTATCTTGGCCGCTAAACGCGCTTAACCTCCCTGGTCAGACACTTCCCAATCTGCCTCAAGTAGACTTTTCACAAGTGTGGTATCCCTCGAGGCTTGGGGATTCGTGACGTCTCAATCAGGCAGCTCAGCTCCTACTATCAACTCGTGCCTGGGGCTCCGTCTGGGAGCACATTGGCCCTGTCAAAGCTGTGGGTTCCATTGTTCCAACTATTTGACGGCGTCGGTCATTTGTCCTGGACCTGCCTCTTGTGCGGGCAGATTCATTCACATCTCAGAGCAGGAGAGCTGGTGCTCCTATCTCGGCTTGCGGGCGGTCTAGACGGAGAGTGTGCTAGATTTTGCAGCTCGTGTCCTCCTTTGGTACGGCTTCGTGTGCAAAAGAAGTTGAAATTTCCAAATCGCCGGCGGGGAAGCATGTGATCCCTATTCATCCTCATCTTTATCTCTAAGTGATCTCGACATACATCATGTTTTAGGCTACTCCGCGGTCTCCCGCGGTGCCTTCGAAAATGGACTACAGGAGGCCTATGTCCGGCGCTCCGAGAAAACAATGTGCTTCTGCATTAGATTCGGCTTCACACTGCATCCACCGAGGCTACTATTAACCGATCTCGTGGCACGTGAAGTTGTTTGCACCACGCTTGTCAATGTTACATTCATCATCATTTTTTTAAGAGTTCAATCGTTCTTTCCCTCATATCTGATGGGGTTCAAATGACCCTGCGGTTGGAGAGTATTTTACGGGATTAAATGGAATTTCAAAATGCGCCTGTTCCCTTCTCGTCCTCAGCCGCCATGCTTTCCGAGATCTTCGACACCTCCCCCCGGCTGGTCCCAGCCATGTCCTCATTCTCGGACAAGGCGAGCCCCAAGGCGTCATGTGTTGCGTATCTGCAGCGTATACCACTGCTGAACGATCTCGAAGAGTTCTACGCCCGAGCCAAAGACGGCGTCACTGCGTCCTCTCGGATGGTGCTGACGGATGATAGCGGCCAGCTGCTCGAGTTCTCCGTCGAGGGCGGGATGCGTCTCCATCAGCTAGCTTACTCTGTCGACGTTTCTTTCCAATGGAGTGAGAGTTCCTTGAAGCCATCGTTCCAGTCACACGCAGTTTACTCACCTCGATCGTTTCCAGCCTCTAGGACGCGCCCCTTCGAACAGTATCTCATCGGGACCTTCGACATCCCGACCTCCATTCTCGCCGACGCGTCGTTTTGTGAAAATCATCTGACTCCTGCGCTCATCCGCGACGCCTTAGTCCTCTCTATCACTCGGGGGTGCATATACCACCTCACCGTTTCAGTCCCGCCGCCGAAGGACAAGCGCACGAAATCGTTTGGTGGGAAACAAATCCCCGTAGCCCACCGCGTCGTTTTTCTAAGCCGCAAGCGTCTTGGCGACGAGACCCCGCGTCAGAGAGACATTGAACGGATTGTTCTGGCCGCTCCGGCCAAGTATTGTCGGGACTGTGAGGAGTGGATCCCGTTCGAGGTCGTGCGCGCGCAATGTGCTGGGCATAGGTATGGGGAAGGTGTGTACTCGGATTGAAAGACGTCAGATGGAACGAATCCGCACGGGCGTTGATATATCTGCGACCATCCCTTGGATTCTTTGTCGACGCTAGCACCATTCAAATAGAAGTTTACTAATTCTTGGCAACAGAGACCTGCATGACACATCGTCCACTTCGATTGAGACTTAACTTGTCGCGCATACGGAACTTTCTCTACACTAGCATCGTTCATCTTCCAGCAAGGTCTGCAGTCCTCAAAAGAGTGCGCAGAAATCATAGTCGATAGGCAAACGATGGATCCGTCGGTGCAAGAAGCCCATTATTGCAATTATGAAGATCTGCAGAACACGCGAAGTTTAATTCATGGCAAGAAATAAGCAACGGCTTAGAAGTCTTCTCTGAAACTCGGGGACATGAATCGGAGAATCGCCTGGAAAGGCGCATCTATTGATGGAATCATGGCGGGAATCTGTGATCCCGACGGTCACAGAGATCTCGGTTCTACTTCCCGATAAGTTCCCCGAACCTGTGGCGAAACACGTGGGAAGCATCCTTCTCTGAAAGATCTACGATCCGCCTCTCAGTGCAAGAAGCAACCGCAGGGCAACCCAGCCAGACACCTGGCAAGCATCCTTCTAGATCTGAAAGATCTACGACCCGCCTCTCAAAGAAGCAGCCGCAGGGTAACCCAGCCAGAGCGGAGAAGACTTGCCGAATCCTTGAGCAAGAAGAACAGCAAGTCAGGTAAACGAGAAGGACATGGATAACTATCTACGAGTATTCCATCACGTTTATCTACGAATTTTGCATATTTTCGGAACTCTGGCCTGAGCTCAGGCATGATACTATCACTGGCATGAATACAATATTTGTGGATGCAAGATAACGAGGTAGAGAAAATACGTCAAGGCAGGTCGGGCAGGTCAAGACTGCAGATGGTTTCGCAGTCGCATTTGGCCTATCGAGCCTTGCCTTGCAACGCGCTGACCGATGTAGGACTGTTGATCCCATTGTCGTCCCCTGCTGCTTCCTTGAAGGCTTCGTCCTTTCTCAGAACAGCTGCCTCGGCCGTAGAGTTGAGCGCCAACTTGATGCAACAATGGACTCAATGGATCCATGGAACTGAGGTGCCTGGAAAGAAATGCGTCAGCTGGAGAACAGATGATTCGGGGCGGCCATACTTGCCATCCAGCTTCTACGCTTTGACCTGGCCAATGAGTTGAATGTCAACTTCGATCTTGATAATGTCGCACTTCTCAGTCGTCGGATGCATCACGTAACATGCCGCAAGGTATTGCGAGTGGAAGATACCCAGTCATTTGATGAGTTTGACGCCGGTGATCGAGTATCACCGTACATGTTTTGTTTGCTCAGCCGACGACTTTGAGGCCGGAGAAACTGATCAACGCTAGAGCCTTTCACATAATGCTCAGTGGAATGAACTCACTTTTCTGCAACATCGTCAATCCATCCTCCTCGGCGACATCAACCGCATCCTGTTCCCCATGATCACACATGAACACCATGAGAATCGCTGGCGAGAACCTGGCTAGCATCGCAGCACGTCGACGGTCGTCCCGCTCGACGGATTCCAAAACGCAATCTGTGGAAAATCGTAAGCCGTTGGCCAAGCACGTGGCCTGACTCACTGCGTCATATGTCGCTTGCCACACCGTGTCAGACGCCACCGCCCGGTCAGACTGCATGTTGGAGAACCGAACAGCCGCTCGATCATGTTCACATTGTTGACCTGCGCGGAAACCGCCAGAGGCGGTAGCAGGTCCGACTCACGAGTCATCCGTGAAAAGGCTCTTTCTTCCCTTCCTCATCTTGGATGCTGCGCAGGTTGCAGATGAGCCGCAGCGTGAGAAATCGAGTCCCCAACCAGGCCAACCCATACCCGGTCCAGCAAACCCGCCGTCTTCGCGTAGCGCACGCGCTGCGTGAGCTGGTGGAATGGGTCCAGTGCGCCTCACTAGTGAAGCTGTATGCGGGAGCGCCGTTCGGTGTGGTCGGGCGATTGGCGTGTTCCTGCAGCATATCCATCATTGGGTTGCTCGGCGGCGGCGAGAAAGCGTCAATAGCGGGCAAGAGAAGGCCATCGAGAAATGACTGGGTGAAAAGCTCCTCGATGTGGGGGCAGCGTGGGGTGCGCAGACTGCCTCCAGGAGACACGGAAGGCGTTCCGGATGGTGTGTGAGGTGAGTGACGAGAGCGCCATGATAGCTGTGGTTGTTCTTATACATCGCCGAGGGCTGTCTGGTAGACGTACAAGTCACGGTGATCCCTGCTGAACTCACTTCACTCACAGCCACCTATCAGCACTACCAAACAGAGTGCCAGAACGTGTGACCACATTTTTCTACCACTGTAACCTGGTAGTGATTCCACTGTTCTATCTCGAACATTACCACAGACTCGTCATGTCTGCACTAGCACCTATAATACCTCTTGAACTGCAGTATCTGGTCATCGATGTATACATCGGATCCAATTCCCTTTTCCACACGGCGAAGATCCGATCCTATGACCTCCCCCTCCGTCTCGTCTGCTCGAGCTGGCATGACTACACCTCGCAGCTCTTCTTCAGACCCTTCAAGCACATAGTTCTGCGCGACACCGACCACGCAGTGCGCTTTTGTGCGCTTGTGCGTGCCAGTCCGCGTGCGGCGATACTGGTGCAAACACTCTCCGTGGACAAAACACTGTCGGTCACGGCGGGCCTGGCGGAACTCCTGTCCGAGGACATGCAACAGCGCCTTCCGAACCTGCGCTTCCTCAAATTGCAGCACATGCGTTTTGCGGCTATTCCGCGTGACAAGCGGATGGGGAACTGGGCCCAGGTAGAGCAGGTGCACTTGAACGGTCGGTTAGTCCTCGAGACCGTGGACGGCCTGTGGGACTGGGTTGCGCTCTTTGCGGGGTGTGGATCGCTTTCTTTCGGGGGGCATATCCGGAACACACCAATCCCGAAAGAAGTGGCGCCACCGTCAGACCCTCCGTGTGTCCACCTGCGGTCTCTGGTCTTCAACGCGTCGGGCACCATCGAGCCGGTCATTCCCGCAGCGTTGGCCTCCCCAAATCTCCGCGTTGATCAGTTGACATTGTACATCTACGACCCTTCCTGCTACACACCCCTTCTCCGCGTTCTCCCTTCGAAGCTCCAAGAACTGTGGCTCTTGCGCCACAGCCACTACGTCGCCATCCCTCTAAAACTGTCGGACGGCAGCTGCCCCGAGCTACATTCGGCCACCTTTTCTCTCCTGAAGCCCAATGCGCGGCTGATGGCTCTCGTCCTGTCTGATGTACGAGTGATCCTCCGCGCATCACCCAACCTATCCCAGATCAAATTTCGGCTTCCCCCAGTGGCCGCTGACCAGGTGACGCTCATCACACAAGCCTGGGGCGGGCTGGATTCACTTCTCGCTGGGACTGTCGGCGATGTCACTTTCTGCATCACCAAACCCCCGGGCTGCGCAGATGATCCGGGGCAGCTCGGATTATTGCGCGCCCTACAAGCGTGCATGCCTCAGCTGGCTGATCTTGGTGCTCTCAACTTTTGGTCAATAGAAGAGGTATCCTATTTCGACATGTGGACGACCTGACAATGGCAAAGCTGCTAATACGTTTAATTGCTTCTATCGTTCGGCTTCGGCCTGTGTTTTCAGTGCAGTATGATATTCCAGTATGACAGAGAGAATGTGGCTCTTCGTTGTTATTTATCGTTTGCCCATCCATGAGATTCCAGCAGGCACCAGCCGCCGTCGAGCAAGGATCGGAACCAAGACTGGTGGTCCTATAACAGTCGCAATGACCGGAATCACTGTCGCAGGAGTTGACGGTAGCCGCTGATTGATACATAATTGTTTTGTTGGCTTGTTTCATCCTCGCATTTTCCCTCATTGTGATTGCATGATAAAGAAATTCAAAAATTTTCACGCTAGGATCGTACGACTACGGACAGTGTAGATAGATTAACGCTCAGGTATCACACGGAATGTTCTGCTCACTGCGAATCTTCTGCTTTAAGTCTTCTGATCATCAAGCTAACGACCTCTAGACTGAAGAAACTTCCTAGCGCTAGAGCCCTTTTTAGAACGGTCAGTGGACTCTAGTTGCTTGTGTGCAAGTCCATCCTCCTTGGCGATATCAACCGCATCCTTTTCCTAATCATCACCCATGAAAACCTTCAGCGTCGCCGGCAAGAATCCGGCCAGCATCGCAACCTCGCTCCGCTGCACCAGCGCATCGACGGTCGGCTCTCTCGACAGGGTCGAGAATACGATCCGCAAAACGTCGCAGCCAATGGCGCCAAAAGCACGTCGGACAAATGCGCGGGGAGCAAGATGAGCGCGGGCTGCGGGCGAGATGTGCTGCGAAGCCTCTTTACAAGAAGCGGGAGCCCAGATGCCCCATCGAGGGCCGAAACATCGCAGATCGCGAGCGTCTTGTCGAAGCGACCCGCATCCCGCCCACTGCGCACCCGCGTCTCCCACTGCGCTTCCACCACACGAATTATGGCCACCCTCAGCGCCCCACCGTGCTCCGCCAGTGCCGGGACCGCGCCGTCCCTGTGGTGGCTTGAGTACGCCAAGCCATCCACCACAAAATCGTACGGGAAGAGGGTTGCCTCGCTGTTCGTCCTGTGGCGCTTCTCGGCCCAGAGAAGGGACCGCTCGAATCGGGAAGTGTCCTGCGCGTAAGTGCGCTCCCAGTCGTTTTTCATGTATACTGCCGGGACACGGCTGTGCGGAATGTCGCCCCATCGCCGGGCAGTATGAGCAGCCCAGGGTCTCCGCTGGAGGCCCGCAGGGGAGCGAGGATCCACCGCTATAAACACGACCGCCGAGTATCCGTCGCTTCGCATGACTCGAGCGCCGAGTCGCTCAGCGCCGTTGGGAAGATGATCTGGCCTGCAGAGTACACAATGCGCATGGTGGCCGAGGAGACGTTCGTTCGGCGGTCGTATCTGGCATAACGCGTCTAGCATTGTTTATCCGGTCGAACCACTTGTGGGAGCGCCATTCCGTTCGCTGTGGTCGGGCGACTGGCGCTGTCCTGCAGCGCATCCATCATCAGATTGCTTGGCGGTGGCAAGGAAGCGTCGACAGCGGGCAGGAGAAGGTCATCGAGGAAGGACTCGGTGAAACAGCTCCTCGATGTGGGGCAGGGTGGGGTTCTGCGCAGACTGCGTCCAGGAGGTACGGCGTTCCGGATTGCGAGCAACAAGAGCGTTGTGGGAGCTGTGGGAGCTCTTACTTATATATTGCTGAGGACGTCTCTTGACTGTCAATGCCTGGGAGACATATACATGGTAAGTAGTGGTCACAGTGATCGATTTGGCCAATATGTCACACTCGCTTCGCTCCCAGCGACCTGTCAAAGCCACAACAAAACATGTGACCATCGACTGGTCATGTCTGGCCTTGCACCAACTCTACCTCTTGAACTACAGTATTTGGTCATCAATGCTGTCCACGCGACCAGCTCGACATACCGCTTGACTAATGTCCCTTTCCAACGGCTGCTCATGGCCGGAATCCGACCCGACGTCCTCTCCCTCCGTCTCGTCTGCTTGAGCTGGCACGACTACACCTCGCAGACTCTCCTCAGACTCTTCAAGGACATAACTCTGCGCAACGACAGCCATGCAGCACGCTTCTGCACTCTCGTGCGCACGAGTCCGCGCGCCGGTATCCGCGTGCATAGTCTCGTCGTGAAGCGCTTGTCCGTCGCTAAGGTGTTGGCGGATCTATTCTCAGAGGACATGCAAGAGCGGCTCCCAAATCTGCGGTCAATCAGATTTCAGTATCCGGAGTTCATGGCCATCCCGTGCGACAAGCGGCTCGGCACTTGGACTCAGGTAGACTCGGTGCACTTCTACGGGGACTTTGGCTTCGAGACCGTGGATGGTCTGTGGGACTGGGTCGCGCTCTTTGCCGGGTGTGGCTCTCTTTCCTTTGTCGGAAATGTCTGTGAGACACCGATCACGAGAGAAGTGGCATCTCCACCGGACCCTCCACGCGTTCATGTGCGATCTCTCATCTTCGATGGGTGTCGTGACAGCATCTGGTGGCTCCCTCCAGCATTGGCCTCTCCACATCTTCGCGTCGATAAACTGGCGGTGATCCTTTCCGAATTTTCCTACCACCCACCACTTCTCTACATCGTCTCTCTAAAGCTGCAAGAGCTATTGCTCTCGCGCCGCAGCCACAGCGACGTCCCCCGTTTAGAACTAGCGGACAACAGCTGCCCGGAGCTGCACTCGGCCATCCTTCATCTCGAGATCCACAGCTCGCAGGAGGTGGCTCTCGCGCTGCTCGACGCTCAAGTGATCCTTCGCGCATCACCCAACCTATCCCGCATCCACTTTCGGCTTCCCCCAGTGGCCCCTGACCAAGTGACACTTGTGACACAGGCCTGGGGCGAGATGGATACACTTCTCGCGGGAACTGTTGACCATGTCTTCATCAGACTGCTTCCGGACCCGCATTCTGCACGAGGTTGGCGGCAGGCCGGATTAGACAGTCTTCTCACAGCGTGTATGCCTCGGCTGGCTGATATCGGTGCTCTCCAATTTGAGCAAGAAGAAGATGAGCTAACTAGCTTTCATTTGCGGACCAAACACTATTGAATCTATTCATACGTTTGCGCGTGTTCACGCCTGCAGTTTGGCCACGGACTATGGCACCGTTTCAGTGTGGCATCCTAGTATGACAGCTCCAAGTATCGTCCTTGAAATCAATTCGTGACACATTGACGACTTCAGCCCTAGCCCGGCACTGGCCGTGCCTCCATGTTCCTGACCGTGATCTATGCTGCGCTCGAAGCCCCCTCACAACACCTCGATATAACCTAACGCAGACGAAGAACATGATCACTCAAAACGGCCAAAGAGACCGGTCCATCCTCCCCTACATGCTGCCTTCGGGCACCGCGTCTTAGTAGTTATTTCACTTGTTGCGGAATACGAATGCGGATTCGAAAAAGGGCAAGCCACGTGGGGCCTACAAGCAATCATGTGACATAGACCCGTCATGTCCGGACTAGCACCTACCATACCGCTTGAACTGCAGTATCTGATCATTGACGCGATCGACGCAGACGGCCCAACATACCCTGAACCCAATCTTCGTTTGCGATGGCTGCGCACGGCTGGGATCAGACCCTGTCACCTCCCCCTCCGTCTCGTCTGCTCAAGCTGGCATGACTACACCTCGCGGCTTTTCTTCGGACTCTTCAAACACATCGTTCTACGCGGCGACGACCACGCAGTGCGCTTTTGTGCGCTTGTGCGCGCCAGTCCGCGTGCGGCGATACTTGTGCAAAGCCTCGTCGCGATCCACAGACTGTCGGTCACAGCGGGCTTGGCAGATCTCCTGTCCGAGGACATGCAACGGCGCCTCCCGAGCCTGCGCTCGCTCAAATTCCAGCACCCGCAGTTCTCGGCCATCCCGCGCGAGAAGCAGATGGGGACCTGGGCCCAGTTAGAGCAGGTGCGCTTCGACGGGCGGTTCGTCTTCGAGACCGCGGACGGCCTGTGGGACTGGGTTGCGCTCTTTGCGGGGTGTAGATCGCTTTCTTTCGCGGGGCGGATCTGGAACACACCAATCCCGAAAGGAGTGGTACCACCGTCCGACCCTCCGCGCGTCCACCTGCGGTCTCTGAGCTTCATCGCGTCGTGGACCATCGAGCAGGTGGTTCCCGCAGCGTTGGCCTCCCCGAATCTCCGCGTCGATAAGCTGACACTCGTCCTCTACGACCCTTCCTGCTTCACATCCCTTCTCCGCGTCCTCTGCTCTAAGCTCCAAGAGCTGAGGCTCTCGCGCGCCAACTTGCGCGACGCAACCCCGCTACCACTGGCGGATGGCTGCTGCACCGAGCTACACACGGGCACCCTCAATCTCTTGAGGCTCGATACCCAGGAGATGGCTCTCGTGCTATCTGACATCCGAGTGATCCTTCGCGCATCATCCAATCTGTCCCGCATCCAATTTCTGCTTCCCCCGATGGTCAGAGTCCATCAGGTGACACTCACAGCACAGTCCTGGGGCGAACTGGATACGCTGCTCGCCGGAACTGTCGACCGTGTCTGCATCTACCTGCCCATCTCTCCGGATGACGCAGAAGATCCGGGGCAGCTCGCGTTAGAGAGTGCCTTTCAAGCCTGTATGCCTCTAGCCTGCGCTCAGTCATCTCTCATCAGTACGCGCACAGACATTCTCTTCGTTTTGTTCGGCACCCAGTCACTGAGAAACCACGAACAGATTGAAGACACTCTCGAACGAGGGCGCTATTCGCTTGAGTGAGGATGGAGGGCCCTCGGCACGCGAGTTCTTGGAGGACAGCTACGACGAGGACAACGAGGGTGTGCGGCTGGAGGGTACACTACAGATGCTTTCAGAACGCTTTGCCGGGGAGCAGGTGCCAGAGCGAAGCCTGCTCAAGCTGGTCGAAGCGTCTGCGTGATTCGGCGCGTGGGTCCGCCAAGCCAAATCAACCAATGCCACTCCAGAGTTATTTGTACGAACAGACTGTCACGGACCATCATATCTATAACTTATAGCATTTTTCTACATCGAAATCCCCAGCCCACTACCATCGACATTTCGCCGCTGACCCTCCACTTGACCTGTGGTCTCGTTACAATCAAAAAGTACACGCGATGACCGAACGACGGGCGAGATGCTTCTCTCCGTTGTCCTCCTGCTCTTTGCGCCAGCGCTTTCTACCGTCCACGCCATCGGGCAGCGCAGTTGCGTCGTCTGCCAGCCGTCGAAAACCGTATTCAGTGTCGTGAACAACGGGAAGGCCGCGCCGCTAATGCTCTCTGCGGACGAGTGGCCCGGCGTCCAGCGCACCGCGCAGGACTTCGCAGACGATATCCAGCGTGTCACTGGTGTCAGACCTGAAGTCTCCAACGGAACCGCAGCACACCCTTCGCATGACATCTGCCTATCATCATTGGTACGCTAGGCAAATCGTCACTGATAGCCCAGATCGTGAACGCAACCAAGATCGACGTGTCGGAGATCGAAAACCGGTGGGAGGCATTCTTGTCGCAGGTGTTCATGGTCCCCTCGGGGTGGGGCCCGCCTACGTCATCATCGGAGCCGACAAACGAGGCACGATCTTCGCTTTATACGACCACTCGGAGCAAATCGGTGCGATGTGACAAATTTGCCGGTGTGCGGGATTGCGGCTCAAGCCCACAGGCGTCTCACCGTGGTACTGGTGGGCTGACGTGCCCATGACGCGGGGCACCTCGCTGTTCGTCGAGCCCAGCGGCTGCTTCCATGGATCGCCGACCGTCAAGTATCGTGACATATTCCTGAACGACGAACAGCCCGCCCTGCAGAACTGGGCGGCGGCCAAGTTCACGGCTAATGGGACTGGGATCGCATTGACCAACTCACCGTTCAATCGGTTCTTTTACGGCCAGCTGTGAGTTCATGATTGGGCTAGAACTCTCGCCTCAGCCTACCAGTGACTCAATGTCCGTTCAGCTTTGAGCTGCTACTGCGCTTGAAGGCAAACCACATATGACCTGGTAGGACACCCTACTTACCGTCTATCCCATCTGCTGCAGCTGACCACTTCTTCCTCTAGCTCAATGAGCGCGTTCGGCGTTGACGACCCTCTCAATCAGTTCACGGCGGACTATTATGGGATCGTGATGGGTACAAGCCACGAGGAGCCGATGATGCGCTCGATTCCTGTCGAATGGGGGCTGTTTGGGAATGGTCCGTGGGACTACAAGCGAGTTCCATTGACGTGTTCCGATGCAGACTGAAGCAAGCGTGCAATCGGCGTGAGTGCGGCTGCCATTCACGACTTCTGGGTCGCTGGCGCCAAACGCGCAGCCCCGTTCGAGAACATGTGGACAGTCGGAATGAGGGGCAATGGGGATGGTGTGTTCCTGCTCTGAATCCCCTCCCATTCATCGTTCTCACTGAACAACAGAGCCTATCGTTGGCTCTGGCCCGTGGACCTTCTGGAGAAGATATACGCTGACTAGAAGTAGATCCTGACTGACACCCTGAACAACACGATCGAAAGTATCCCGCAAGTCTGGGCTATGTGTATGTCAATCTCGGAGGTAGTGTGCTTGGAATTTGACGCTCTTTTATAGACAGAGAGGTCGAAGGATATTATGACCAAGGACTTCAGGTGCCGGACTATATCACTATTCTCTGGACCGACGATAAGTGAGTGGCTATATTGACTGGTAAACTATATGGCTGATTTCTGAAGCTGGGGAAATGTGCGGCGATACCCGCTTCCTTCAGAACGAAACGGAACTGGTGGGGCAGGTGTTTACTATCATGTGAGTTTGTCGATGCATCCCATTGATGTCTCTCTTAAACCTTTGTAGATCGACTATATAAGCGAAGTTACTGCCACCTTCTATCCATCTCATAGCACCAGGTCGAAGACCCACGGGACTACAAGTGGATAGCGGTGAGTGTGATGATTTGTCTCCTGCGTCCCGGGTGCTTGCTCATTCTCTGCAGAGCTCCCAAATCTCCAAGATCTACGAACAAATGACCATCGCCGTCGACCGCCAAGCGACCCAAATCTGGGTCCTCAACGTTGGAGATCTCAAGCCCTCAGAACGAGAGACAGAGTTTTTCCTCGCATATGGCTGTGACGCCAGCCTCTGGAACCCGGACAACCTCGACGACTTCGTGGTTGGCTAGGCACAGCGCGAATTCGATCTGTCGGAACGTGACGCGGATGCGGTAGCGGGGATCGTGGCGAATGTGACGTGATTCAATGCGCGGTGCAAACCTGAGCTGCTCAACGCGACAATGTACAGTTTGATTGCGTATCGAGAGTGCGTGATGGACTTACCGAGCGAGCTTGAGTGCTGACTACCAGCAGAGCAGAAACGATGCTCGCGGCATGGTCTGAGCTCGTCAGCGCGTCCACCTGTCTGCGACAAACTTCAGTCGGCCGCGCAGCCGGCGTACTACGAGACCGTGCACCACACGGTGCTGGCGAGTGCGAACCTCGGGACGATGATGATCAAGGCTGGCCGTGCTGCACACGAGCCAAGCGCGGCTGAGCACGAATCAGCTCGCGGACGAGGTCGAGACGCTGTTCGAGAATGACTTTAATCTGGAGACGCGCTACCACGCGCTGCTAGGCAGCAAATGGGAGCATATGATGGATCAGACGCGTAAGCCGTCGTTCTTTGTTGTTTGCGCCAGTGTCGATGATCTCAATGCATCAGATATCGGATCCGCATATTGGCAGCAGCCCATGACGAACTCGATGCCACTAATCTCGCGAGTGCAGAAGAACAAACAGGCGACACCCAGGCCGATGAGGTACCGTGAGTGTCAACTGAGGATCTCAAAACAAAGACGACGGCTCATGTGATCACAGGTCCCTCTTCATCGACCAATTTGACCCGATTTCCGATCGTTACATTGACATTGGCGCGGGGGTACCCACACCCTTCATGTTCACTGTTGTCAGCAACGTTACCTGACGGAGGCTGAGTCCCAGCCACGGCTCGATTTCTCCGTCGTCGAATCAGGAAGTGCAGATCTTTGCGCGTGTAGATTGGACGAAGCTGGACGAGGGCCTGAGTACGGCGGTTCTCAACTTCACCGCGTTCGGACCGGACAACAAGGTGCTGACCGTGAATGCATTCGGCTCACCACGGAATCTAGTGCAGGCGTTTATCGTCGCGAACAAGACGACGCCAAGTGCCGGTTTCAAAGGTGCGAAGAGCTGAATTCGTGACTTAAACGCAGACACATATGCTCATTCGCTGCAGGGTTCGTCGGAGCAGGGGGTGCCGTATCGTTTGAGGCGCAGCGCGCAACGCGGAGCAACTCCGTCAGTGGTATGGTCTGGCGCACGCTCCCCGGGCTCCGCAAGACGCTCTCGGGCGTGACGCCCTTCCCGCGACTCAGCAACGAGAACAACTTCACCGCTGGCGCGGGGCCGTTCCTGGAGTACGACTTCTACACGTTCAGCAGCAGCACGAACGTGACTGTAATCACCTGCCTTCTGCCATCGGAAAACGGTTTGGGAGCGGACCGCCCGCTGGGCTGCGCGGTGCAGCTTGACAACGCGCCAGTCCAGAGCAACTACTTCCCGTCGCTGGCTCCAGGGCTGGAGCCTCAGCAATGGAAAGGATTTGTTGTGGAGGAGATCATCCGGATGAGAAATGTATTTGTCTGCAGCCTGGTTTGCATATGCTCAAGGTGAGTGTCTCTTTTTCATGATTGAGCTGGCGGTGGTGGTCCAGATGATTGCAGAGGATACTGGAGGCCACAAGTCAAGTTATCTGGGCCCACCAACAAGTTTAAGTGTGAAGGAACGGACAGGGGAAATTGAAGATAAGATCACATGTGCCTGATCATGTGACCATGCACTGCCACCTCTCAAACATATATAAGACTGGCCTCATCAAATCTTGCTGATTCCCTTCTTGCTTTTGACCACTACAGTTGCTTCTACTGTCTTGCTCCTTTGCAGCTTCCTCTGGTCAGCTGATCTACTGCTTATCTGCTTCACTTATCTTATCTTCTTGTCACTTGACTGCATAGGTCTATTAAGTCATCTGACTTAGTCATGTGAGTGATGTGCACCTATCATCTTTGTGGATCATCAACTAATTAACTCTTCATCAGTTGATCCTATCTATTATCAACTATCATGAATATGGATCTATGTTACAGGTTTGTGATATACCACATATCATAATATATACTTTTCTGACTCAAATTTTCTGCTTTTTCTTGTGGTGCTCTCTGTTTTCTCTCTGGCTCTTTGGTTCTTCTATTTCTACTTGTTTTGACTTCTCTGGCTGCTCTCTTCTGCTCTCTTGCTTGCTCTACACTCTAGTCTTGTGAGACATCTCTGGTAAATGCACTACCAGCTTTTTGATAACTTGATTGGCAGGTATGTTGAGTGCTCTAGCTGCTGTGGAGCTTACTTCACAAAACCTACAGAATGGGTTTCAAGATCTGTTTCAAGCAATGGAATCAGAGTCCATAGCACTCGATCTACTGCTTCAAACCCAGGTCTATGCAGTCAAGGTTTGTTACTGCTTAAAACCAAGTGCATACTCAGACTGTTGATCTGTACAGAACTATGTGGAACCTGAGATCTTTGTGGATAGTGTCTTTATGTGACAATCAACAAGAAATAATGTCAAAAAGAGAAGTCAATTTGAAGACTGGAGAATACAACCAAGTAGCTACAGTATTTATATCCAAGTCTAGTCTGAGTCATATCTACAACTAATAAGTCATAAGGCTATGTACCGCATGGGAGCACTGGTTATGGGTTGTAGTAGAACCTTCCGGAGCATATGTCATGCAGTCTCGAATCGATAAAGATAATCCCTGGAACCCCTAGTCTGGACTGTCTGATGCTGTGATCTGTGATAAGATAATCTGTGCCAAGATAAGATAAGGTGGTCAATGATAAGATGAAAAAGTGGTCAAACTATGACACTTCAACCAGGATGCTGAGAACACTGACATGGGTGATGCTGTGCTGAGTGCCCTGGCTGCTGTGGAGCCTGCTTTGCACAACACAGAGCGTAGCTTTCAAGATCTCTTTTTGCAGTGGAGAGCTATCCTTGCTAGGGATTTCTGCCTGTCTCAGGATCCTATGTCACTGCATCCTGATGAGTCCATGAAGGAGGTAGTGGAGATTCTGCAACAGCTCAGGCTTTTCAAGCCTAGCATATACAGTCAGCCTGTATTCACACAGGCTCTAAAGGTAGGTTTTCTAGTATGGCTAAGCAGAATTTCTGACTGCTTGTAGTCCAGTGGATTAGCACATACTCTGCTGCTGATCATCAATTCTTTTACAAGACAAGAGATTGATTTTCCACATATTCAACATAGTGATGGATTATACCAGTGGAGACAAAGGTTTGGTGAACTGTTGTTCCTTTTTATCCTAAAGGATGCTAGGGAATTAGTTGGCACTGTGAGCAGATTTTATATACATCTGACCAGTTCTGAATGCATTCTGCTGTAGACTCTATATGATAATCAACCCAAAAATAAGAGTCAAAAAGAAGAGTGAATTCCAAGAGTGGGGAATACAACACAATAGCTACAGTATTTATACCAAAGTCCAGCCTGAGTCATATGTAAGCCCGGTGGACTCACGCGCATACCAGCACGTCACATTACCGTTACGTACATAGGATAGAGGACCCCTCAGCTTACTTCCGTACTGCATATACATCCCCACGCAAGGGACTTTTCACTAGTTCTCGCCCGCCCTTTTCTTCCGTCTCCTTCCTTTGTCCTTTTCCCAGTGTTCCTTGGCATACAGGTACGCCCAGGCTTCCACTTTTTTAGTGACGTCCTCCCTTGCACACAACCGCCTCCAAGAGCTATTAGCCCTCATGGGGATAAACGACTGGTCGTAGTGCTGTTACCGTGCCGTAGAACGTTCAGACGAACGTGTCTGTCTTATTACTGGCTCCCGCTGTTACCGTTTCACCGCATATATTGACTGTTTGCAGTCACACTGGCCGCCCGTCTCCCATCCGTGCCTCATTCGCTGCAAACTCGCAGTCAAAGAACAACCATCCAAACGTTAACACGCTCAGAACCCCCCTCTGTGACATGCTCAGGACCCGCCGTGTTATCATCATCTCTGTCTTGCCCAGCCCCGCTACTTGCCTGTTCCGATTCTGATAGCTCATCTTGCACACCGTCTCCCCCTGCTGTCTCTCATCAACGCCATACGATCCGCATGCAGTCACAAGACTCCATGACCGTGCCCAAGGCAACAGTCGAGACTCATTCGAGCAAAGCCCCGGTACTCACTGAGGGTGATTGCACCCCCGCCGTTCTGCGCGAGTTTACGATCTCCTTCCGCAATTACACCACGATAAAGAAGGTACCGGATGACAAACAGGTCGCCATAGCAATGTCCTGCTTCCGCGATTTTCGCATCACTGAATTGCTGGAGCTCAAGAACGAACGCGCGACAGCACTAGCCGGGACATTCGACGACCTGATGAAGACAATTCGTGGCGTCATGCTACCCGCGGAGTGGGATTTGGATATTTGCCGTGAGATAATGCAGCAGAAGATGTCGGACAATGACACCTTCCACCACTTCTCGACACTCATTTGTTCACGCAACGCGTTGCTTACCGGCTCCAAATACCACCTGCCCGACGATCGTATGCGCCTGCACTTGGAAACCGCCATGGTGGCGGATTTGAATGACTTGGTCATCGAAGACAAGATCGTGAACAAGGAGACGGACTTTGGGAAGTGGCTTAAAGGGGTGGTACGACTCGACGGGAAGCGCGTGAAAGAAAATACGCGTGCACGCGAGATGTTCGAAGCACAACGCAAGCGCGCCGCTCCTTCTACGGGAACGTACGATTCCCGCCCAAAGAAACAGACTCGTACCAACGAAAACGCACCTCCCCCATCCGTCGCTTCTTCGTCCTCTTCGTCCACCAACGCTCGTTCAGGACGCCTCCCCCCACTGTCCGAAGCGGACAAATAACTGCTAAATGACCACCATGGCTGTCGTACATGCCGGAAGTTCTATGTGGACCACTGCTCATCCGACCGTGTTTGCACCTTCCCCTCGGCCGAATCGTACAAGCCGCTCAGTCTCACGACGGCGAGCGCCGCCCGGAACGCACTGTCAGAAGCGCAAGCGACCAAGTTCGGCATCCCTCGTGCGGCGATAAAGGCGGTGGCTGCCGTCTTCCCGAAATCCGACAGCGAGAACAAGGAGGAAGAGTACACCGACACTGAGGATGACCTGAGCACACGTGTGAGTGAATCCTCCCAGAACACGGGACCATCCCATCGTAGCGACCACTTTGTGTGGGAGTTCCTGATGAATGGTCCCCGAGTGGGAAACCTCGTTGCCGCCCGTGGACTGATTGACTCCGGGGCACACATAGTCTTAATCCGGGACGATCTTGTGCAACGACTTGGACTGCGCCGTTTCAAACTACGTGAACCCGAAACCTTCAATGTTGCAACAACCGACGTACATGACTATGCCCCAACACAAGTACTGGAATATGTGAAACTGCGAACACTCTCTCAGGACCAGCGCTGGGAATCAAACGTGGTCCGGGTGCTGGTAACTCCTGCTCTCTGTGTTGACGTAATATTTGGACTGCCGTGGCTTGAAAGAAATCACATTGTAATTGACATGGAAGCACGCTCTGTAATTGACAAACGATGTCAATATAATTTGTTGGACCCTGCGCCGCTTTGGCCGCTGCCTGTGCCTCGACCGCGGTTACGAGACCGCCTGACAAAGACGCGGGCAGACTTGAAACAACTGCAAACGGAGCTCAAGTCTGTATGCAAATCCAGGAAACAGGACATGCTGGCAAAGGACCTGTTTGAACCAGTCAAAGAGGTAGACGTGGTGGCTGCTGTCCGTCAGCGTATCGAGGTGCTGGCAGACTGGGAGATGCTGCAACAGAGAGGAGAGAGTCTGAAATCGAAATTCCGTGAGATCTTTGAACCGATTCCCCATATTGATCGGCTAGCAGATGACGTGGTCTGCGAAATTCGTCTGAAGGATGCACACAAGGCGCTCTCGAAACGCACATACCAGAGTCCACGGAAATACCGAGAAGCGTGGCAACTGCTGATAGATAAGCATCTGACAGCGGGACGTATCTGTCCATCGAATTCACCGTTTGCTTCGCCAGCCTTCCTGATCCCACAGGCTGACAAGCTCGCATTACCCCGCTGGGTAAACGACTTCCGAGAACTGAATGCAAACACGGTGCATGATGTGTTCCCGCTGCCTCGAGTTGACGACATTCTGGCTGATGCTGCAAAAGGGAACATCTGGTCCACTATAGATTTCACCGACAGTTTTTTTCAAACGAAGCTGCACCCGGATTCCATTCCTTACACCGCAATCAGCACGCCATTGGGACTGTATGAATGGATGGTGATGCCGCAGGGCTTGCGCAATGCGCCATCAGTGCAGCAGAGGCGGGTTACAGCGGCACTGCGGCCCTACCTCGGAATCAAGTGCCATGTGTACCTTGACGACATCATAATCTGGTTGGACGGAATCGATCAACATGAGAAAGACATACGCGATGTTTTCAAAGCCCTCCGTAAGTCGGGCTTGTATTGTAATGAGAAGAAGACGAAACTGTTTTGCCGCGAAGTGGTGTTTTTAGGACACCGGATTTCAACCCGGGGAATTGAACCGTGCGAGGACAAAGTCCAGCGGATCGCGAGCTGGCCGACTCCAAAGTCGGCAACTAATGTGCGCGCGTTTTTGGGTCTAGTCCGCTATGTATCTCAGTTCCTGCCAAACTTGGCCCAAGAGATGATGGTATTGACTCCCTTGACGACGAAACTGGCCGACAAACAGTTCCCGGGGTGGAAGGCCGAACACCAGGTCGCTTTTGACAACATCAAGTCGTTGGTGTTGAGTGCCGACTGCCTGACAACAATAAACCATGCGGACCACGGTGACAACAAGATTTTTGTAACGACTGATGCGAGTGACTACCGAACAGGTGCAGTTCTCTCGTATGGTCCCACATGGGAGTCGGCACGACCGGTGGCGTTCGATTCCATGACGCTCAAAGGCCCGGAACTGAACTACGCGGTCCACGAAAAGGAGATGTTGGCAATCATTCGAGCCTTGCGCCGCTGGCGTTCTGACTTGGTGGGCGCGTCTTTCGAGATCTATACAGATCACCGAACATTGGAGAACTTTGCCACGCAACGCGACTTGTCCCGCCGTCAGGCCCGTTGGATGGAATTCATGTCGCAATTTGATGCAAGGATTGTGTACGTCCCGGGAGAAGAGAATTGTGCTGCTGACGCACTGTCCCGCACGGATTTCGGGGAAACGGAGGATTCGAGGAGCGAACTACCCGAGGTCCCGGGGGATTGGCAAGACAATCCGGAAAGTTTCAATGCAGTTGGAGCATTGAAGAAGGGCGCGTTCCTGCCAGCTCACCTGTTGGCCTGCGATAGAGCGTGCAGGGCAACCGTGATGGGATCAAGTTCTCCCTCCCTGCAAACAGTAGCAAGCACGCTGCAGATACGGTCGGATGCCAAATTGATTGACGAGATCCGCCGTGGTTACGCCGATGACAAGTGGTGCGCGAAACTGCCGACATTGACAAAGAGCATGTCGGGAATCAGGGAAGATAACGGTCTGTGGTTTGTGGGTTCTAGACTGATCATTCCAAGACGGGGCAACATTCGAGAGAAACTTTTCCGCCTGGCCCATGACGATAGTGGACACTTCGGTTTCCAGAAATCATACGCTGCCCTGCGTGAAGGGTATTACTGGCCAGGCATGCGCCGTGACCTGGAAGATGGGTATGTTCCTTCATGTCCCGACTGCCAGAGGAACAAGTCATCTACAAGTAAATCGGCCGGCCCACTGCACCCGCTGCCGATTCCGGAGAAGCGGGGCGACTCGGTTGCCATAGACTTTGTTGGCCCCCTCCCATTGGATGATGGAAAGAACTGCATTGCAACGTTCACGGACCGTCTGGGTTCCGACATCCGTTTCGTGGCAACCCGGACGGACATTTCAGCGGAAGATTTTGCGCTGATATTCTTCGAACACTGGTACTGTGAAAATGGCTTGCCTCTAGAGATCATCTCCGACAGGGACAAGCTATTTGTCTCTGCATTCTGGAAATCACTACACAAACTAACCGGCGTGAAACTGAAGATGTCAACCGCGTTTCATCCAGAGACCGACGGGGCCAGCGAGCGAACAAACAAGACATTGAATCAATGCCTGCGGTACCACGTGGCTCGGAACCAGCGTGGATGGGTGCGCGCCCTGCCCAGGGTGCGTTTTCAGATTATGAATTCCATTAACAAATCTACTGGCTACTCCCCCTTCCAACTGCGTATGGGTCGTTCGCCGCGGGTCATTCCCCCCTTGACAGGCCCGCTACCGCCGGAAGAGGCAACGCCGGAAGAGGACGTGGCGTGGGATATAATCGCAAGACTGGAGGAAGACGTGGCGGAAGCACAGGACAATTTGCTGGCGGCCAAGTGTGCTCAAGCGGAACAGGCGAATAAGTCGCGGGACCCCTCCCCCGACTACAGTGTAGGCGACCGAGTGAAGCTCAGCACTGCTAATCGGCGTTCACAGTATCTGCGTTCCTCGACCGATAAAGGACGTTGCGCAAAATTCATGCCCCGATTCGATGGCCCCTACACGATCGTTGCCGTGCACCCAGAGTGCTCGACGGTGACACTCGACATGGCTGGTCAACCATTGGTGTTCCCCATGTTCCACACGTCTGAAGTTTGGCCATATAAGGAAAACGACCCCGGCCTCTTCCCGGACCGCGAGTTGCCAAGACCAGGCCCGATTGTGACGCCCTGGGGGCAGGAGGAATGGCGGGTCGACAGCATAATCGATGAACGCCCGCGAGGCTGCGGAAAGCAATTTTTGGTGCGATGGGCTGGGCACGGCCCGGAAGACGAGCGTTGGCTCGCGGGACGGGAACTGGCCGAAACGGAGGCTCTCGATCGTTGGTTGGAGGCTTGCCAGGAAATTCCAGTAGTTACCACACCAACCAGCGGCCGGTAGCTTTTTCCCACTGGGTTTTGACGCACCCGTGCACACTTACTTACATCTTACGATACTGACGGATACACTGTTTTAGAGAGGGGGAGGGTGTAAGCCCGGTGGACTCACGCGCATACCAGCACGTCACATTACCGTTACGTACATAGGATAGAGGACCCCTCAGCTTACTTCCGTACTGCATATACATCCCCACGCAAGGGACTTTTCACTAGTTCTCGCCCGCCCTTTTCTTCCGTCTCCTTCCTTTGTCCTTTTCCCAGTGTTCCTTGGCGTACAGGTACGCCCAGGCTTCCATCATATCTACAACTAGTGAATCATGAGACTATGTCCTATGTAGAGCATTGGTCATAGGTTGTGGTAGAACTTTCTGGAGTATATGTTACGCAGCCTTGAATCTTATATAGATAATCCCTGAGCACTTAATCCAGACTGTGTAATGCTGTGAACTGTGATAAGATGACCCCTATGTCAAGATAAGATAACCAGAAAAGAAATCGTTGAAAAATGATTGAATCATAACATTACCCTCTCTGGTCAATGTCCTCATCAACTGAGCCAATAGGTGTAAAGACATTGTCATAGGAGTTGAAGAGTTGTTGTCATGGGTAGAGAAGCTGCTTGTTTTTGGGTCTGTAGCAATAAATGTTTGCATGGGTGGGACAATGTGATGGTTCCCATGTGTTTTGCTATGCGGCCATCTCTTCCATTTGACCAAGTACTGTTTCCCTCAGCCATGTAAGGGCAACCTCAAGGCCCAATCTCAGAGTCCTGACAAGGGAGAGTCCAAACAGAAACCGTGTCAGGGACTCTCCTTGTCAGAGCCCACTATATATAGCCTACAGAACAATGGAGATGATTGGAACAATAGGAAGCACTCGAACAATAGGCCAGAAAACAATAAGGAGCCGGATCAGGGAGAACAATAAAGAGCCAGTGAA